TCTTAAATGCCTTTGAGATTTTGAGGGTCTGTCTCTTTAGCACTACAAGTACTTTCAGCTTGAAACACTCAGAAGGATCCTGGGGAGACCTGATCTGCCTGCAGTCGTGGTCCTACATCTTCCCTATGCACCGCAGGAACATGAGAAAGGCTTTTTTGTTATGCAAAGTAACGTTCACGTTAAAAGATACACATTGCTAGTGCAGTGAGCCAAACACCTAGGTATGAATTGTGCATTTAAATAAAAACAACAGCCGTGGAAGGAATAAATAACATCTGGTCTGGCAGCCATCTTCCTGTGAGCAGCAGATGATGCTGTAAACGCTTAAACTTGGCATCAGATCTTACCTGTGGCAGCTCTGTGTAAACACTGTCTTGCCAGTAGCTGCCTGGGGAGGAAGGATGCAGTTCTTTTGTGTTGTTTTTTTGTGGTTTTTTTTCTGTTGGTAATACTGGAACTGAGTTATAATTGAAATCTAGGTGCTTAGAACAAAGTTAAATTCACTTTGAACGTCTAGCCTTTTTCTGCATCCCTGTTTTTTGAAGAAGAAATCCCTCTGCTGTGACTGATGTTCTGGTGGCAAATGTGGCAGGGGAATGGTTTTCTGGAAGTCTCCCTTAATGTTTGAATTAAAAATTGGCAAAAAAAGTATGTATTTGGGAAATGTTTCTTTCTAGCAGCATCTGATGTGATTATAGCAAGAATAGCATAAAAGGGAAAAGAGAGATGAATTGCTGATGCTGCTCTGAGGAAATAACCAGCCCATGAAAATGACATTTGCCAGTAAACTTCAGGAAAATGCTGGTCTTGGCTTCAGACTTCAGGGCAAAAATGTCTTGATGTCTGTTGCACCACAGTTTGAAAGCACACAGGATTAAAAGAAGAAGTAGAGTTAGAAAGTAGTTGAGCTAATATGAAACTTTTCAAGTGTTTTGTTAAGGTTACAGGACCCAACCTGGATTTCTAATTCGTTCTTGGTGTTCTTGGTATCTCTGTGCTGCCTCTGGAAAACAAATTTAAATAGTAGGTCTTTTTTGTAGCTGAATAATCAGCTTCTGATGTGATCTTGGCTCAGTACAGTTTCAGTTCCCTTTCTAATGTGCTTCCATGTTTTCTAAGTAACCAGGATTTAGACATTTTGCTGTAATCTTCCAACAGAAGTCAGACTGAAGGTCTTTTGAAGTTTAATAGCAATGCCCATCACTGTAGGGGCATACTGGGACACTGAAGCACAAGGAAAAGCAATATGGACTGTGTGGAAAGATGTCATACTTCCTGCAGAACTTTTAAACTGGCTGGCTGGACGTAACCAGTCCCTGTGTCAAATCTTACTCATCCTTCATTTCTAGCTTTCACAAGCATAATCTGTGTATGGGCCTTGGCTTTGGGGTGTGCAGACTTGGGCCATGGTTCCCCTTCATAGTAGGGGTAACACTTCTCTTACTACCCACATTTATTACACAGCATCTCCAGGGTTTCCTTTTGTGTATGTATTTGGTAGCACACTGGTGGCCTTTACAGAGCAGCTGCCATTTCAAGCTCTCCCACTGCACAGGAGGAGCTGTGGTAGCTGTGTTTTCAGTCTTGTCAAGTACAGATACCCCACCTCAAATCTCCTGGCCTCGGGTCTCTTTGTTACTGGTGATAGTGGGAACTTGCAGGATCTGCTGTGCGCTTGCCATGTGTGTCCCTTTGTGTTGGGAAATTTGGTGAGTTAAGAAACTGGGAGTGTGAATATGGGAGGACATGTGTGAGCACACTGCACTCAGCCTTAGGAGCTGAAACTGAAATTCCATGTGGAAGTTGGGATTTATAGTTCAGGCTTGACCATGTGAGACAACTTCTGTGATGTATAAGGGTGCAAGTCAAGACACTAGTCACAGCTTCTCATCTGTCAGCAGCTAAATGCAGTGAGGTGTTAACATCACTATTGCTTAATTTAAAAAAAAATCTTACATTGTATTAATAAACCCTTAAGGAAGAAATATTTTAATATTTTTATATCCAAGCACTTTCATTTAATAGCATTTAACTGATACTGCAGATTGCAAGTTGTTAATATTCCAAAGATTTCATCATCAAGATCAATTAACAATGTTTGTTGTGCTCCTGCTGTGTAGCGGGGGGTTCTGGGGGGGGGTGATGTTTGGTTTTTCTAATTTATATTGAGTCTGTGGCATAAGATATTTCCAAAATGGTCTGCAAGGAGGGCACTGTGCTAATTATTTTCCACCTACACGTTGTGGAAGGAGATTATTAAAATGAGTGATTTGTGCCCTGAAAATCTTTATTGCCACCATCTGCAGTGGTACTGCAGGATTTATGGCATGTGCTTTTAATGCTGAGGAATCCTGATTGGTTACTGGCCACTGTGAGAAGAAAAGCTGAACATACTTTCCTGCACTAAGCATGTGTGACATCCCACAGTGACAGTGAAGTAGAAGAAAGTTGTGGGTAAAAGCTGATGTCCCAGTCTGCCTGGATTATTATTATTACCCCCTCATGGTGCCTGAAGCTGAGGGTTACAGCTCTGCCCTGTGTTGGTGCTTTGTTCCTGCAGGCCCCTGTTGATCCCAGCTTTCAGCAGCAGTTGTGTCCCAGATGGGACACGTTGCTCTGAGAGTCTTTGCAGGGAAATTTAATAACTGGTTTTGGGTTCTTAGTTAAAAGTCTGTGAACTCCTGGGCACGTGGTTAGTCCATGTGATCTGCTTGTAATGAGCTCTGGAATTAAACTGAGGTGAGCATACTTGCTGAAAATGAGACTTACATACTGGCTCAGAAGACTTATGTATTGGCTCATTTGTGTACTTAGTATATTGATAGTTTACATACTTTGGTCTTTAATAGGAACAGCTTCCTGAAGTGTCACATGGACAGGTCTGTCAGTGTTGAAGTTCCACATCTTCAGAAATCAGGGGTGAAGCTCATGATTTTCCATCTTCTTGGTAGTTTTAATAGGCCAAGAACAAATACTTGGAACAACTGTTGCAAGAAATATGTTGAAACATTTCCAGGCTATTTCCTAATAGCACACGTGGTACATAAACAGTGCAAAGCCCTGGAAGCTGCTGATGTCAGAGCCTGAAAGTCCATGGGAGAAATGCATGTTCCAGCTATTCAAGGAAGTAATTTTTCAGTTGGAGATACATTTTTTGTGTGTGTGTGTAACTTCAGGTTTCCACAAAGTTCCACCTATTTAAAAAAATAATCTTAAAGGAAAAAATTAAAAGTTAGGAGGAAAGCATAGAAAAAAACACTTTAGCATCATAATGCTGCTGCTTTACAGTGATGTGGGAGGAAGGAAAGAGAGCAGAAAGTGCAAGGTGCCAAAGTCCACTCATTTCTCAGTTGGCATTAAAATTCTTAGCAAAAACAGCTTTGAGTGGTAGATACAGAAAGGAAAGAATGATGAGACACCTGGAAAAAGGATCAATTTGAAACATTTGTATTTTAACACTGCAGTTTCTTCTGTACATGTAGGGCTCACTTCATGTCCAAGAGAATAAAACTTGGAAGTACTGCAAGGAAAATAAAGTCAGTGTAACTGATGCAGTTATGAGTCACTGTTTGTGGAGGGATGGGAGTGGCCAAGAATTGAACTTCTTTCCACTTGTGTCCCTCTTCAGTCATCAGTCCTGCAGAAAGAAGAGAAAAATCATCATGTTTCCTGTGTTTATAGAGATGGGAACCTATAAATAGTTGCTGGAAGAAAAAGTGTAATGAAACAAGGAAGAGAAAGGAGGGGCTGGTTGCCAACAGGACAAATTAAAGGAAGTAACACAGAAGGGGTTGAGCTTGAGACAAAAGTTGGCCACAAGTAGTCTCTGTGTAGGAGTGATTGGGATCACTTTGGAGATGCCATTTGATCTGGTGTATCTTCTGCTGAATTCCCTTTGCTGTCTGGTGTGTGTAGACCACGGAGTCAAGAGACGTGTCTGTTGCCTGGGGACTCTTGCTCTGGTTCCCAGTCTGCACTCCTTGCAGCAGAAGGCCCTACAGCTTCTGTTATTTCTGGTGGGAGAGGAGGGGCTCTGGGCTGTTCGCTTCTTCATTTTGGTTTAACATAGTTCTCTCTACCCAGTCTCTGATAAATCATGGGAGCTAAAGTGTGGGTCCTTAAAAATAAAAAAGATACTAAGCTGTGGTTTTGAACAGTTCCAGAAGGTACCTTGCCTTTGCAAAGCCAAATGTTTCAGCATTCTGGACAACAAAAACAACAGTATTTTACCATGTAACTTGGGCCAGTAGATCTCTAGAAAACTATTTTTTTTCTGTCCTTTTATTCAACATCTGTATTGTGGTGTTCCTTAATGCTACTGAAGGATTTGTAATGAGGTTCAGGTTAATCAGGAAGAACACTTTGGCATTACCCCTAAAGACAAGCAGGTTCCTGCCTCCTATTTCTTGATGTATTTTATGACTGTCATTATGAAACCAGTAGTTGTTCATGAGAATGGCATGAAGCTGCCCCTGCCTCACCCAGCAGTGTTCAGGTGCCAGCCAGCAGAGTATGTGTCCCTCTGTTGTAAAGGTAATTAATGACACCCTGTGTTTCTCAGACCACTCAAGTGCCAGGCACAGCAATGCTAAAGAAATCACTCTAGAGGTAGTTCTGGCAACATAGTCCGAGGAATAATGTGGTTAGCCCAGAAGCTTTAGTAAAATACAGAAATATTGATCAGGTGGTATTGGTACTTACTTATTTATGTCAAGATAATACATCTCTGCCTATACTGTGAATGTAGAACACACCCATGATTCCTGAAAGCACAAATACCATAATTGTAGGAAAATGTCCTATAAAACAGAGGTTTTCCTTTTGAAATGGGGGGTGGGTTCTGGCCATGACTGAGGAAACGGGCACCGTGGCTACACGTGGCAGCTTAGGCTGATGCCTAAAGGGTATTTTTAAAATTCCCTGTGTGTTCTTCAGCACTTTGGTATTCAAAGTCCATCCAATCTAATGGCCTTTTCCACCCCCTTTTCCCCTCTTGTCTTTCAGCAAACGAGGATTCAGTGTCCGCTCCTTTGGGACAGGGACCCACGTGAAGCTGCCAGGACCAGCCCCGGACAAGCCGAATGTTTATGATTTCAAAACAACATATGATCAGATGTACAATGATCTGCTTAGGAAAGACAAAGAACTGTATCCCTGGGGCATAGCCTTTTTAAAAAATCCAATATGGTTCATCCTTGAAAGGTGTAATTCATTCTTTGGCATTATGCAGTAGAAATATGTAGTTGCTTGACTGGCAATCTTAAAATGTTTTAGGTTTATAGGAGGGTTTTTTGACAGGGGCCTCTAATCCTCCCTTGCAGATGACTACCAACTTCCAATGCACGTGTGCCAAATGCTCTTCTGTAGTATGTGACATGTTTAGCTCTGGAATGAAAGCACAATTAATAGGATGACAGATGGTTCCTTATCTCCACTGCACTGTGGATGGTGTTCTCTCAGTGCAAAGACTGTCCTGGTAATGGATGTGTGAAGAGCCACCACCTCAACATTAATGTTGTATTTAGCTCAGACTAACTGCCAGGTAAGGTTTCCAGTATACTTTCTCTGGGAGAGAGGATTCCTTGCATTACAGAGCTCCTCCTCACTGAGGATTTCTTGATAAGTGACTTTAATCTGGAGGAAAAAAAATAATCCTATAGCTTATTATAAATAATTTAGGTTGGAAAAGACCTCTAAGATGAAGTCCAACTGTAAAAGAATGGGCATGGGAGAGTCCAGTAAGATATTTAATACTGGAGAGCAGAGGCAGTCAAAGTCTGCACACTACTTAGTACCATGGCTAATGTCAAACTGCAGGAGTTTAGAACGTCCATATTTAAAGTTGACTTTTCATTTGTTTTTAAGGAAACCTACAAATTTGGGGCTCTCATTCTAGATATTATTTTCTCAACATGGAATCTGATTTTTAAATGTTTTTAATATTATATCTAAAAGAAAAAACCCTAAATAAGGGATTTCAGTTAGTGCTGAATTTCTGCTTAAAAGACAGAGGACCCTTCAGGGTTAAGTACCCCAGAAATGAGTCCTGGTTACTCAATGGAATGGTCTTGGCACAGTGGTGTAAGACTTTTCCTTAAAATCCTTGGATATGACCATCTCGGGATCCAACAGGGATGTTAACATGGTTTAAATGTCTTAATTGTACTCAAAACAGCCCAGTTTTCCTGCCTCTTTTTTTGGTAAATTGGAATAAGAGGAAACAGGCTGTCAGGAGCTAGAAAACATGCAACAGGGTAGAAACTAGACTGTTACCCAGGGAGTCAGCAAACTTAGGGACATTTAGAAAAGAGCTCCACAGTTGTTTGGTAGCACAGATTGTGCTGTGGCTTCATGTTATCAGCAAATTCTTTGTTGTATTTGCTGACCAGAAATAGGAAATTCGAGCGCCCCGAGACCCCAGGAGTGGCAGCGGCTTTTGCAGTGGCTAAAGAAGGGCTGGGTTGTTTGATTAAAACTTAGCACTGATTCAACCTGAGAATACCTCTCTGTATGGTGTTCCACACAAATGGCATCCCTTACAGGGGTGTTATTTTCCTAACACCTCGTTAGAGAGAAAAGAAATTAAAAATGTATAGTCCTAATGAATCTCACACTGATGCCCTGGGTTGGTTTTTTTTTAATCCCCTTGCCTATAGAGAAAGGAAAATCTTGCAAACTCACCCTAAGGAGGCATGCAATGTCTTGATTAAAAAAGAATTGCTTCCAAAGAACAGGAATGGAATTGAGAAGTAATTTTAACAAGCACTGATGACTTTTGGTTCCTTTATTGCCTTCTTCACTGCTGCTGTACTGAATGTGGCACCACTTTAAGATACAACCAACAAAAGTCCTACCTAGTTCCCCCCACTCAGCATAATTTGGAGTGACCATTTTGGTTCTGCTCCCTGCTGGAGGTGCTTGTGTTCCCCAAACATATTTGCAGTATTACAGTTAAATATTTTCTCAAGATAAAACAAGTTTAAACAGTAGCTGCTGCAAAGGAAATAGGGCAAGAGCAATTGTCTCTACATCTTGGCATTTTTGACTCTAAGATAATAGAATTGACATTTTCAGAGGGAAGATTCATTGCAGAAAGCAACTCCATTTCCAGAAATGGGTTTTGAGAGTAAAGACTTTTACAGTAACCAAAACTAGACTACTCTCCTGAGAGAATTGTAGAGTGGTTTGGGTTGGTTTTTTTTGTGAATCAGGGGCATGGGGGCTCTCAGGATTTTGGGTGAGCATCACTCCATAGAGGTGATGGATGTGGAAATGTTATCTGCTGGAGGGTGGAGGGGCTGCTCTTGTGCTGGGCTCTGGGTGTAGATGGGGTGGGAAAACAGGGTGATTGAGAGGATTGGGATCTAGTTTTTTCTCTGTGAACTCCACAGTTTAAAGGCCATATGGTACTTCCTGTGTCCTTACTGTTGTGTGGTGGGTGGGTTCTTGATTTTTTTATATAGTGCTCTTCACATTCAGAACAAGTGGAAACAGTTTCTTCTGCCATCTTCAGAGAACTTTGCCAGTAACTGTTCATAGTGTTATGTCTTCCCATAGCTGACATTTGTCCCTGGTTTACCCCCCATCTTCCATCTGCCTAAGAAGATGTGCATTGTTACTAACTGGTAAGATGCATCATGATAGAACATCTGTAGAGGAAGATGTGGTGGCTTTGGAGCAAGGGCAGGCAAGAGGGACTATGTATAGCAGTTCCAGAAATGGGGGAGGAGGGAAACCAAACCTGAGGCAGGTTCTGGCACATAGAACATCCATGGTGTGTCAATGAAAAAACCTGAAATATTTATTTCCCTGCAGAAGATGAAGGAGGCCGGCAGAAGTAGGTCATTGGACTAAACTGACTTCACTGTAGAACTGGGTAGGAAAGATTCAGTGCCTTTCCCAAAGCTTTCCAGTCCCTCTTGGAACATCCATCTCCTGTGGCCATGAAGAGGAGTAAATGTAAAGGAGATTGGGACTAGCTGAGAAGAAGGGGCATCCAGAAGCAGTGAGGCTGTACTGGGGGTTAGTTTTCCTGGCTTGGTAGGGTGGTGATGAAGGGAGAGAATCCTTTAGTTCTGAAGTCTTAGGCATCACTGCAGTTAGACCAGCTCCAGCCTTGGAGACAAGCTTGACTTCATGGGGCAGTACAGTTTGAGTACTGATAGTCATCTCTTCCAGAGAGTTTCTTCTGCTCTCTCTTCACACCAGTGCTGGAAGAAAGGAATCAGTTTCTTGTGCAGTGTCTCACCTGCCATAGAAAGTTGCTTGGCATCAGCCACAGAATTGATAAGCTGCCAGCTGGAATCCTGCCTGTCCCTGGTACTGGGTGTGCTTTTGGGTTCTGCTCCAGGCAGGAAATAAAACTGCCTGTTGGACCAAGGTCAGACTGTGTCACAGGTCACCCCAAAGTCTTCCTGCTCAGACTGAAGGGTGGGGTTGATGAAATGACTGGTCTAAAGTCAGGGACTGAAACTGAAGAGGAATTGCCATACCACACCTCCTCATAAATGCACTTCTGTAAGTGCAGCTGGTCCAGGCTGACACCATGTTTTCCTGGTTGGGTGTGGCACATAACCTGGAGTAGCAGTAGTCTGTTGGAGCCTTGGTCTTAGTTGCTTAGAATTCCTGGGTTCAGGTAGTTGGGTTCTTGAGTATTCTTGCCCTTTAACTGATCAGTTTCTCCAGTGTATCTTCTTAACAGTGGAGTAAGCTGATGTGGAGAAACCAGTTAATAAGTAGTGGCTTTAATCCACTTTCTTAGCCTGGCAAATACAAGCATTTCAATTTCTTGATGCAGTTAATCCAGAGCAGAAACCAGAAAGTTTTTTTCTGCCCTTCAGATGTCTTAAATGGTTTGGTTATGTAAGGCCTTGCTTCCATTGGGCTTAGACTTCCATGTTCTTGAGAGGGTTGTAGTATCAAATAGTATCTTGGGTCTTGCTGCTTGGTTGTGTTTCCCCACTCCCAGAAAGTGTTACACGATGTACCCTCGTGATTCCTGGCCTGGGATAGTGACTGGAGGCACTGGAAGGAAAGTGATGGGAATATCTTGCTCTAACCCACTTCCCCAGTTTCTTTTAAATACTGCTTGTTGCAGAACCTTCTGCCACCTGTAACAAAGCTCTAGGATCCATAATACTTTAGTAATTCCTGTCATTTCTGGGTCAGTGAACAACCCTAATACTTGAAACATTTCTATTGGACTTGAGCCTGTACAAAGCAACCTTGAGGTGCCTCATGGGGAAAGTTACCACTCCAGGGGTGCACAGGAGGACTAGTGAGAGCTGCAGAGCTTCAGCATCCTGCTGCTTGGGGCCATGTAGCTCAGTCTTGAGGAGTAACTTAATTTAATTCCACGTCAGGTAAGCTCTTCACGCATGTATTTATCTTTTCATTTGCCTTTCTTCATGGATTTTGAAGTGATAAACACTTGCCAGCTTCTGTTCTCAGCTGTCATTCCAGTGGTTGGTGGGATAGTTTCTGCATCTCTAAACCACTTTGGAATGTTTTATTTTAGGTGTGTTTGGGGTTTTTTGTTTTATTTTTTTGGTGCTGTCCAAAAGCTAAAACTGGTGGAAATCGGGGCCTGCTGCATGTTGGGGAAAACTTCCTTTGAATGCAGGTGCAGCACAAGTCTCATTTTCTTTCTTAACATGTCTTTCCAAGTGCTTTAATACTCCTAGAAATAGAGTGAAGGAAGGAGGATGGAAAGCAGTGATTAAACTGGATTTGAGCAGTCTTCTAAGAGGCACATTTCTGTGAAGCTGCACATTTCCAGCCATGAGCTGAATTCAATCACTTTTTTGCTCCATTAAGGATCAGAAGATGAAACCACTTCACAAAACCTCAAGCCTTTCAAAGGCAGCAGTTTTCAGTACTTCTTAGTTTGGCTTCTGATCAGACTGCTATAAAGCACATTGAGAAGGAAATACTTAAAATTATTTAAAAGTACATAAAACATACTATGTGAATGTTATTTGCTCTGTATTGGAACTTCAAGGACATGGTAGGAACTACAGACTCCAGTCTGATATCAAGTGTTTTTCAGCATATAAAACATCCTCTACCATCCTGTCTGTCTTCTAGGTAGTCTGTGGAAAGTTTCTTTCCTTACCCAAGGTGAGTCAGGAACAGATGTTTTCAAGAAT